GACTAGTTAACGCTTCTCTTAAGAAGTCAGTTACCTCTCTCTAGAGGAAATCTCCTCAGGACTTAAAAAAAATGAGTAACAGCCAATATGAATACTACTTCACTGACCTGAAAATATGAATACTAAATATTATATATTGTTATATATTATATTTTGCTACATATTATATATTATGTATTTTATATGTATAATGGGCAAAGCTTTTAAAGACTAAACACAGTGCCTATAATAATAAAAAAAGATGCAAAGAAAAACACCCAGGAAGATGAACTAACTGTGAAGCATTCCTAAGGAAACCCTACGTTCTTGTCATTATAAACTAACAATTGCCACTGTGACAAATATTGTTTTATAATGTGAAATGATAAAAATGTACATTTCCTTAAGAATTGGATACATACTATAAAATATTATTGAAGAGAGAGACTAGTTTACTGAGCTCAGTTTATCTAAATTATTAATTATTCTTTAATTTTACTTTCGATATATATTGTTGAAACAGGCAATAGAATAACTGCTACTTCCTACTAAGGCAGCACCAAGGAGAGTTCCTGCTTCCTTCTAAGTGCATGCCTGCTATTTAAGAAATGCAACCCGGACACAAAATCCACCTTAAAAATAAGAAAGGAAGCACGTTTAAAGTTTTTCAATGTTTTAACTTTAATGTCTTATAAAGCAATATAAGAGTAGCCATAGAAACCAACTGTTTTATTTACTTTTAATAACAGTAAAATTTGATAGACTCTCAGGGATCCTCACTTTTCTGTAGTCCACTAAGCTGTAAGGAAATACCCTTAAATATCAGCTCTCTTAACTATTATCTCTCCACTTATCTGTTCACCAAAGAATCTCTACTCAGATGAAAAATGGAAATTAAAAAGTTTAGAAAGGTTTTCTTAGTATCACCAAATCAAACATTTTTATGAAGTCAAATTATAACTGGAATGTCTCAGAAAATTCAATCTGTATGTTACATTTTTATAATGTGCTTATCCTTTAGCTAACACTAAAGAACTTAAATGCTAAAAACGCTAAAGTCTTAATTTTTTAATGCTATAAACTTAAATTTTTTAAAGTTAAGATGTAGGGTTTTAATGTATCTACAGATTATTAACAATCACTTAAGAAATACATGTAAATTGAAGTTGACTATGGTAACCATTTCTTAAAATACAAAGTGAGCCCCAGGTATTTTTATTGGAGAATAAAACTCATCTAGAACTTTCTTTAAGTTTTATTTTAATGGTAAAATGTTGATTTTATTATGTGATTTATTAAAATTAACATAGCTATCATCATTACTTTTGCTAGAGTTTTATTGTACTGCTTTGAACATACACTATTTGAGGGGTTATCATATTTTACCTTTCCTATCATTCTTAATGAGTTCATGTACTTCAGTGAAATCAATAATATATAGGGCTGATGATTATGTTATATCATGCATTACCAATTAAGTCACTGGGTTTGAAATTCTGTACTCATTTATTACATAATAAATTGTATGGTTTAGTTGGATTTATAAAATATAGATGGTTGAAATATGTAATGTGTGAACCATATGATATGTTTTAGTTTCTTCATAATATCCCTGATTTCCAAATCTCCAAATATGTATGCAAGAAAATAGTGAAAGTGCTTTATATCACTGATCTGGGAGAACATATTCGTACTCCCAGTATTTTCCCACTGGGGACTCTTGAGTTCTTGATTTTATCATTACCCAGCAGTGTAAGAAAAGAAAAGAAAACCACCAGTATATTTACTAAACATATCCCATTAGGAGAGGAGGCTTGGGAGTTTATTATTATTATTAATTTTTGATATTGTAGCTTGAACCCAGGGCCTCACTCAGGTTAACATATGCTCTACCACTGAGTTAAACCCCCAGTCCCTTTTTCATTTTAACCTTATATAATTATACCCTGAATATAACATAGTGGCTCTATTACACATTTTGGGGGGGGGTACCGGGGATCAAACTCGGGTCCTTGGGTCCTTGCGCTTGCGCAGCAGGTGGCGAAACCACTGAGCTAAATCCCCGGCCCTATTACACTTATTTTTTAAATGTGAAATTTTCACAATTTTATTTTGAGAAACATTATTAGTATGCAGTGCTCAAAATTATTTGAAGCTTCTTTTTTGTTAATACTTATTCATGATAAGCTCATCTTTGCTTTTATTATTTCCTTGATTTATATTGAGGCAATGAACCACCAGGGCCATTTTTCCTACATTCATCTACTCTCTCATAAAACTTCCTATCATTTACTTTCTCATAACACTTCCTGTCCATGCTCCCTGCCCCTAAAACTTTAGTATAAACAAAGATATGTAAACATTTATATTAAATATGAAAATAAACATTTACTGTTAGATTATTCAATTAAAATAATCATATCTTGTGTTTTCACATAATATTCAATAATTTTCAAATATAATTCAAAAGAAGACAAAATTAAAGGTGCAACTTATAAAATAACCTCAATTCTGTAGAACAGTCATTCACAAGAAAGGATTAATGTTGTAATTAGTTATGCTGAACCATCACAAAGGTTTTTCTTTCTAAATGACATTAATTATATTTTAAAGGACGAGAACCATGCAACAAAGTACTTCCATTAAGTTGTTTCTACAAGAAGAGATTCAGACTTCCTTGTTTCTTTGCCACTCCATAAACTGAGTATGTAAATGTTATTTCAGATATAAATGTTCATACAGAACCTTTAAAGGTAGATTCAGATATGAACTCTTATTTGAAACAAAGTCTTACAATTATGTGTTTCCAGCCAAAAATGAACTTTAAAAAAAATCCTGAAAATGCATGAGAAAAATTAAGCTAATAATTCCCCCCAAAGGAAAAGAAAAGATAGAAAGAGCAGTGGGGTGGAGGATCTAAACAGGAATTCTACCTTATGCATTCTGAGTTATGATTTGCAAAGCTACGCTGTCAGTGAACATTTTATCATGTCAATAATGAGCAACAGGTGGTTAAAGGGAGAGAATGATACTGCTTATCTTTCTCATGCCTTCCAGAAATCATCTTCTCAAAACTGTAATTGTATTACTGAAATGGCAATTCTAAAACCTCATATAAGATTTTCAAATAAATTACTATTATATTTTCATGTACTGCATGTACTTCCAAACAGTTACTGGCTCAAAATATCTCAATAAAGCCCTTATGTAGATTTACATACAATTTTGATGGGCTTTCCCTTGAGAGCACATAATAATACTGAAAATACTATAGCAATAAAATAATCCATCTCTATAGAAGTTGGCTGCACTAATTCTAGAATGTTTAGTTCTGCAGTGGGCATTTCAGCTTGGCATGATAGCTTAAATCAAAAACATTCAAACTGAGCAAAGTAGGCTGCTCACTTTGCAAAAAAAAAGTAAATAAAGTAATTTAACTACATTAAGAGAACACTAGATATAAAAGATTGAAAATATATTTTAATGAAGAAAGGCCAAAATTCATTAAACCACATTAAAGCATCTACTACATAAATAAATGTAAAAACATTAAGTATTGTTCAACTACTGACAAAATTGTCTTTTTTTTTTTTTTTACTAAATGAGAGCATGATGAACAAATTCTCTCCAGGTTCATAACTACCTCATTTGTTTCCTTTTAAAATTGGATTTAATGTGATTATAAACTTAAAATATGTACGCTGTTTGCTTTTGCGAATCTTCATTTAGCAATTGAATGTTTGAGCTTGTTCACAAAGCATGTAAGATTAAATCCTCCATTAAGTAATACCATTATCTTTTTTTTATCCTATCTGTAAGCCCAGACACAAATAGCGACACCTAAATTTAAAGTCAAATTACCTTTTCTTCAGAATCCCTGTGTGGGATCTGGCTTATCAGTTACTTTATGGAGGGGTGGCTGAGAGCAAGGGGTAAAGCAGCCAAGATGAAAACTAGCCCAAGCTTCCAGTTATTTTCCCAAATCGTGACAGAGTCAGCTGATGAGAGAAGTTAACTCATCTCCGCGCAGAGCGCTGCAGATGGCCTCCACAGAAATCCTCTCATATGTCACGGGAAGGGTTGCCAGTGTGTCTGTGAATCACTCTCTCTCCCTAAAGGGTGGCTGGAGGCGGTATTCAGCGATCAGCGCGGCCTCCTCCCAGAACAGCTAAGTTGAATGTGTCTCTACGAACTGCGCTCTGGATGAAGCCGCTCTCACCGGGCTCCATTCAGATCAAACGGAGAAAAAAATATCTAGCAGTCCTGGCCTCTGGCTCCAAGCCAACAAATGTCTGGCGTCTTTAAAACTAGCTCCCTCTTAACAACCCTGGAGGAAACTCTCCGAGGGGTTCTACACTTCAACACTTCCATCGCTGTCATCCCCGCCCCCTGCGATGTTCCTGCACCTTGGATTTTACAGGGGTGCTTAATTTTGGAGAAGACGTAACCAAATGCATTGCAAACATGCTCTGCATTAAAGTGAGCGCTGAAACACAAATCAGATGAGCAATTTTATGTAATCAGGAGCAGTTCAACTTCTGCCGACTGGTGCCGCCAAACAACCTCCTACTCTCGGAGAGCGGGCATTTATAAACCTTACATCTTCCTGCCTCCTCCCTCAAATTCCTTAATGGACCATTAGCAACGGGATCGATCCTAGTCACTTTAGTAACAATACAACGCAGAGGCGCATCTGCTGTGTTTACCAGCGCCGGGATCACCATTCAAAAGTTGAGAAGGCAGAGCCAGCACTTTGCAAGCCTGTGGGGTTCGGGGAATGGGGGGACAGGGGGAGGGTGGGAGGGGGCACAGTGGGAACCTGGTGTGACCCGAACTCCTGTGTATTCACCAAAGCCAATCGTCCCCTGTCCCAGCCAGGAGGTGAGCAGAGAACCGCTAAGTTCTCCGCGGCGGTGCGCAGCTCTGAACCCCCAAATCGTTTCCCACCCTTCCCGGCCACTGTGACCCCTCGCCTCGGAACTGAGCGCGTGCGCCTGGGGATCCGAGCGCGCAGCACTTACGTCTCGGAATTTGTTCCACTGTCCGACTTCCTTGTCATACTGAGAGACTGTGGTGAGCCATTGTTTATCGTCCAGAAAATTACCGCCGTCCGACCGCCCCCCGGCCGCAGCCACGGCCGCGGCGGCTGCGAGAGCCTGGCTGCACCAAGCGGCTGCACACACGCACAGTACGGCTGACACCTTGAGCATCTGGAAACAGAGACGCAGCCGGGTTGGGAAGGCGCAGGCAGGGTCAGAGAAGGGGTACAGAGACCGGGGCGCCCGTGGAAGACATGCATCAGCAGCAATGGGAGTGGAGGGAGCCAGGGACGAGCAGGCACAGGGATGTCTCCTCCCCCGGGCTTTGCCCCCAACCCCGCGCTCACGCGCACGAAGACCCCAGGGAGGAGAGCGGGTACACGGCAGGAGGCCCCGGGCGCAGCACCCTTAGCGAGCAGAGAAAGAACCCGCTCCTTAGCACATCACCTTGTTGTGCGCCGGCTCTGCGCTCGAAGCTCCTGCTGGAAATGCAGCCCAGCTCTGCCAACTCCCCGCTTTCCGGAGCTGCCGCACGCGCCGTCCACTCAGCTCCTGCGCCCGCGCGCGCCCCGTCCCCCGCTCCCCGCCCCCCGCCCCCCGCGCCGGGCGCTCGCGTCTCCCCC